GTGACTCAACACACACATACACAGACACACGCGCGCGCACACACACACACACACACCACTCTCTCTCTCTCTCATTTAGGTAAATTTCTGATGGTCCAGGTAAACAGTAGTTCTTGGTTCAGAGTCCCACGAGACTCATGACAATATTTTACTCTCTCACTACTGGGAGTTGCAGAACTCTCGCATATGTTACACCTCACTCTTTCTGGGTGGGCAGGTAAACTGCTGCTGGCCCTTGCCAGCATAGTGATTCCAAATCCTGCAGGACTCATGACCATATTTTACCGTCTCAGGACTCTGGTCCTGTTGGTCTTCCCTGTGTGACTTGAGCACAGACCACATATAAAACGCTGCTTCCAACAATTCTGTATTGTGTGCATGTTTGTTGCCACAGGTACGTGTTTACTGAGCCGTTTTGTGTCAGTGGATGTCTCCTCTGACCCCACTGTTCTGGCTTTCAGGCGTCATGTCACAGTATATTAGAAGACAATTATTATCCTGTTTCTAGTACCTGTTGTAGTCTTTGGAAGCAATACTCTTCCTTTGAAGTACAGTCACTTTCCCTAGGATATTAAGCAGTTTAAACTTTTCCTCAAACCCTTTATTACCCAACTGTGCTGCTTGTGCAATGAATAAAGTCAGTCTGATTTCATAAATATAAGCAGTTTACCTTCCCTTAGTTATTCGCTGTTTTACTGCTGACAGGTTTGGTTTCCACTGGCCCCCATTTAACTCCATTCAGCATCTGCATTTGCATGCAATCTGTCCAGCCAGTAGCATGAGTTTTGTATCTCGTCTGATCTTCCGCCCAGACTCTTGGTGGTTTGTTTCAGTAAGTATCATTACACTCATTGTTTCTGAGTACATTTGTGCTTCGGGTACATCATTAGTTTTTGCAAGCAAAAGCACAACCTGAGGAGAAAAAATATTAAAAGTAGAAAGAAGTGACTTGATAGAATGAATCTGCTACTGTGATCAGGAGTCAGAAGATACTGTCACCAATGGTGACAAAAAGATTTCAATTAGCAATGAATTTCTCACAAAAGAAAAATTGGCATCTATCACAAAGGAGGCCATGACTGTTAGAGGACTGTAAAGCCAGCTTTCCACTCACTGCCCAGGAGGTGGCTTTTGAAATTCTGGTAATCGCACTTGGTCCCAGTAGCACAGAGGAAATGGCGAGCCACATGCAGAGAAGTTAAGATCATCATAATTAGTACCAAACAGGTTGGTCTAATGGTAGCATTGTAGACCTTTTGTATGCTTTTGCCACTATACACAGAACTTCTGAAATATTCCATGTAGGTGTTAACATTGATCTATTGATCTATTTTGATATGGTAAATGCTGTGTTTCATACAGAACTTTGTTTCATCCCTTAGCCAGAGTATGTGATGTCTCGCCTGTGATATCACTGCCTGCACCACACTTGATATTCGCCAGTTTTGATCTACAGTTGTGCTGTACAGTATCTGGGAGTACGAGGACATGCAGTCTGTAGCCACTTGCACTGGAACGTTGAAACCAGCTATATAAACTGTTCAGGACTTTCGGAGGAAAGGTTATGTACCTATGATAGTTTGTGTTAATTCAGGTTGTAAATTGCATCCTTGGTTGACAGAGAAATTGTTCTGTGTATGTTGAACTTCAAATGGAATATAACCATATTGTGCTCATGGCTGTTGAATATTGATTTCCTTAAAACTTTTCATTAAAAGATGGATGTACATGCATACTTTTTTATGAAAGAAGTGTGAACATTTTATAGGACATCAAGTGGGATAACTCAGTCAGTGAAATAGCTGGAGTACTTGGGTTTCAGTCTAGCATTAACAGCATTGTCTTCATCAGTGTGGCTTTGGACTCTCGAGTTTTACGTCGAATCAGTACTGGAGTGTGAAACTGACCACTCCGATCTGTTTGTTACTATGGTCAAGGACACATTGAGCTGCATCTTCAGGGAAGAATATCATTGTCATCCATGTCAAGGGTTGATCCTTCAGTTCCACTCGCTCTCCTGTCTTAACAGGTTTATCCAATGAATCGCCTGCCTTAGATACAGAATTTATTTGTACAAGTATGCGGAAAGTAGAGATGAGTACTGATAGGTAGCCTTCAGAAACTGACTCGTCAGGTTCATGAATATTCAAGTTTTGATTTTTCCTATTTCAGAAAAGGCAATCCACAGTGTTCAGTGATGGCTGAGCAAAGCATTTGTACACACAAAACAACACATTAATATTAGATACTGATCAAGGAGAAACTTTGACACATTTCACAAGGCTGTATTTTACATCTCTCTTCTTTAATTTATATATATTCATAAATTGCATCTTGTGTATGTGATTGAACAGATTTTATTGATATACAGTGTAACCGATTACTCCTTTGTAGTAATATTTTTTTTTTTTTTACTGTGGCGCTACAGCTCCAATTTGTGCCTAGGCCTACCTCCATGAAACTCTCTGTTTCACTTCTGTTTACTAGATCTTACGCATACGGTAGGACTCCTTGGGCAAGTGATCAGCTCGTCACAAGGCCTCTACCTGTAGACAAACACAGAAAAACGCACACAAACATCCATGCCCAGAGTGGGATTCGAACCCACGATCCCGGCTTCCGAGCGAGCAAAGACAGTGCACGCCTTAGACCGCTCGGCTACCGTGACCAGCCCTTTGTAGTAATATACTTCGCCCAATTTATATATACATTTATATTTTTATGTAACCATTGTAATTTACAAAACTCAAAATATAAATTTGAGGGAATGTGTAAATCATCACACGTTATATTATGCCACAAGGCATACAGTAAGTAGCAGCTGATGGAATGTGGCGTGATGTCATACATAAATTTATAGTCAGGGGCTCCCCTTTGTGTTTGTAATGCGTGATGCAAGCACCAAGAACATATAGCCAGGGACTTCACAGAGGTATTTCCCAGTGTATGGCCAGTTAAAATGCCTGTTACTATATGATGTCATGCCTAGGGACAGTAAGATGATAACACCATTCTTTATTCAAAGACAGACAATGCTTAGCCCTTAAACAGTAAAGATGCGTAGTCGCGTTGTTCCTCAAAAGAGGAACGAAGGACTGTATATAGTCCTAAGTTTAAATGTAACAGCAATGTATTTAACCAGTAAAATAAAGTGTGTGTTGTGCCCCAAATTTGAGATAGTAGAGGTAAGCCACTGCCCAAAATGTTCGCGACGAGCGAACAGTGTTGCACAGCTATTGCCGCAACATGTAAACATCAGTAATGGCAAGTAGGGTAAGAATTTGCTGGCTCAGCAAGGCTGTGTCCTCACAGCGCTAGAAGTTTGCCTAACTCGGGCACTGGAGAATCGGAATAGATCGCTTACACAGCGATCAGACGC